ACGAAATGTCTGGTCGTGAGGAAGGGTGTTAAAGTCTCACACCAGATATCTCTGAAAGAATTAAACACTATATTAAGATCTGAGTTGTTGGATGTTGTTGTTGTTGTATTAAGATCTGAGTTACTCCTCCTATCAGGTTGACCTTTTAGGATGGAACCTCATGTCTTATCATCTTTTATATAATATTCATTACACCAACTATTCTCCCTTAAATCTTGTTCATAATTTTACATCTGGATCTCTTAAATAAGGAGGGAGTAAGAAATTTCAAAAATATACTAGTATAGTACCCGTGCATACGCACGGGAAAGCTCAGTTGATGCATATATTTTTACTTAATTGTTAGCAAGCTTATCTTATACTTAAAAAACTACATATATGAGAATTCACCCGATCAATTGCTGGCAAGCTTATATTCTACTCAGTAATACCTAAAAGCACTACATATGAGATAGAAAGTTCTCCCGCTCAATTGTTAGCGGCTTATCTTCTTCTTATATACCTAAAAGCACTACATATGAGAGAAATAATTTCCCTCTCAATTATTAGTCGGATTATCTTATACTAAAAAAGAACTACATATAACAGAAAATTATCACGTCCCATTCTTAGCCATCTTATCTAAAACTTCAAAACCGCATAAGAAAGTTATCCCGCTTAATTATTAGCAAATTTATCTTCTAACACCTAAAATCACTACATATGAGAGAGAGAAATTTTTCGCTGAATTTCTCTGCTCAATTGTTAGCAAGCTTATCTTCTAATACCAAAAAGCACTATATATATGAGAGAGAAAATTAACCAAGCATTTCAGCTCAGCTGGTTGTGAGGTTACCGTGCCTAGTGAGGGGTTTCGAACTCCAGGCACACAGGTTTGAAACTCAATAGAGTGAGTTTCAGCCCTGATTACTCCAGGCCCCCCAAGCCCCCCTCCCCCAGACCCCCCTGGAGTAAAAAGAAATATGAGAGAGAAAATTCTCTCGCTCAATTGTTAACTGACTTACCTTATGCCTAAAAGCATTATATATGAGAGATAAAGTTCTTCCGCACAATAGTTAGCAAGATTATCTTCTACCTTATAATACCTAGAAGCACTACATATGAGAGATATAATTGAGACAATTTTCCCTCTCAATGGTTAACTGGATTATGTTATACCTAAAATCACTACTTATGAGAGAGAAACGACTTATGGCTTGATGTTTTTTGTATCTAAAATCTTATATCTAAAAGCATTACACATATGATATATAAAAAAAAAACTCTTCCGCTCAATTGTTATCCAGTTTATCTTACCTTATACTGAAAAACAATGTCTATGAGAGAGAAAACTCTCCCTCTCAATTGTTAGGAAATTTATCTTCTAATACCTAAGTTCACTACATATGAGAGAAAATATCACCACCCTCAATTTCTCCGCTCAACTATTAGCAAATTTATCTTCTAATACCTAAAGTTCTTCCGCTCAATTGTTAGTCGGTTTACCTTATTATACCTAAAAACATTACACGTGAGAGGGAAAAATCTTCCTCACAACTGTTAGCCAACTTATCTTATACTTAAAAGAACTACTTATGAGAGAGAGAGAGAGTTCTTCCGCTCAATTGATAACATGTTTATCTTCTATCTTCTAATATCTAAAAGCATTACATATCAGAGAGAAAATTTTCCCGCTCAATTGTTAGGCAACTTATCTTATACCCAAAAACATTATATGATAAAAAAAATCTCTCATTCAATTGGTAGTCGTGTGCCTTATGACCTAATCTTCTTATACGTAAATTCTTATCCTCTTATACCTAAAACCACTACATATAAGAGAGAAAATTGTCACTCAATTTTTGGTTATCTTATACCTAAAAGCATTACATATTAGAGAGAAAATTTAGCCGCTCAATGGTTAGCCGACTTATTTTGTACTTAAAAGAACTCCTTTCTTATGAGAGAAAATTATCCTTCCTAATTGTTAACCGGTTGATCTTATATCAAAAACACTATATATGAGAGAAAATTATCTCACTTCTTACACAAATGTGTAATGATTCACGTACACAATAACAATTTTATTTCAATGTCTTCTACATATTTATTACGGAGTACTTAATTATATAATTCCATTTTAATGTACTTTCTACCGTTAGATTGTTAGTGCTTTGAATTTTTTGTTCATCCCTGAAGTATATCTTTTCAATTGCAAGAACTTCTGCTATTTTGATAACTTCTTATGAATAGTGTGAACTTTTAAGTTGTAAGTTTATTTTCATTTTTTCTAAATTCAGTTTGATCTGGCTTCTTATTCTATTTGATAATTTAAAATAGTGCTTCTTTCGATCATGGTCAGTTACATAGTAAGAAATGTACATTTTTTGTTCAAATATTCTTCCAATTGCTAGATTAGGAATCATCTGAAAGTCTTTTGCAAGTCTATCTCATTTGTGTGTACAGAATTGGAAGTCCACAATAATAACCAAATTCACATATGTGTGTATTTAAAAATAAGGGGACTATATTTCAATATAGGCACTATTTGAGTGACTAAAAGGGCGAATTTCCCTATTAGAAATGAAACAATTGGTAGCTAACAATCTCATATACCAAGATGTCATATAATATAAAACAAACTTTGATCTCGAGCGCTGAATTATGAGAATTTTGATCTCGTGCGCTCTAAATTGTAGCAGCTGATTTTTTTTTAAATATGAAAAACAAATCGTAGTCTCGTGAAGTAGTAATATATGGTTAGGGTTGTAAACGAACTGAATCGAGTTGAATAATGAGATTTTGTATTTGTATTTGTTTAATTTTTTCGAATATGAATTCGAATTCGAATTCAAATATGGAACGAACATTAATTTTGATTTGTATTTGTTTAACAATACGAATAGTTAACAAAATCATATATAGGTATCGAATCGATTTGAGCATATGTTAAATATTAGTCAAATATCACTTTAAAATAACTTTTCTTATACTCCGTATTTTTTTATGTTGTAAATGCATGTTGTGACTTAATATGTGTTTTTAGAATTTAAATTTAATGAATCAATGCATTTTTAGATGTTGCACAATATACTAACATGAATTAATTTTATGATTAATAAATATAAATCTATTTCAAACTTTTTGGAGTAAATACTAACACACACATAGTAGAAATTATACTTATAATGTGTGAAATAAGTTGATAACTGTATTTATCAAAGTCAAAAAACTCTAGTTTTATTCTTCAAATCAAATACATAATTATTTGTATTGTATTTGCAAGGCAATTGAACCAAAAAAAATGATTTGTATTCGCATTTATATTCTGATTTATTACAAATGGGCTTGGAATCTGTACGCATTGAGGGTATTGCTATCTTTTAAAAGTTATTATAGTGTTATAACTATTATTATTAATAATAGGGAAAGTCCCCAAAATAGGACTAAGAAAATTTGAAAATTCCAAAATAGGGCTGCCATATTTTTATTCCCAAAATAGGACTAATTACTGCCAAATTTGGAAAATACTGTCATGTTTGAAGTCTGGTACTGCCAAAACATGACAGTAATTAATCCTATTTTGGGAATAAAAACATGGAAGTCCTATTTAGGCATTTGCAAACTTTTTTAATCCTATTTCGGGTAATATCTATTAATATTGATATTAATATTACTGTTATTATTAATTGAATATATTTGATTAATATTCAAATCGAATACACTGATATTCTTATTTGTATTTGATAACAACTCGAATCAAATTTAATATTCTTATTTGTATTTGTATTTGAATCTTCCGAATTCGAATCATCTTATACGAATTCGAATCGCAAATCGAGCACAAATTATTTGATTCATTTACAACCCTATATATGGTAATGATAATTTTTTTAAAAATTACTCTTTTTACTCATAAGTTTATAATAGGGTTTTATTTTTATCCTCTCAGAAGAAATACTGTTTTCATATTTGCATTAAATTGAGTACTAAGAAAAATAAAGTAAAAGAAAAGAAAACCTTCAAATTGAGTAAAATAGAATTTGGGATTTGTGGTTGTGGCGGTTGAGTTTTTTAGAATTGGAAAGCATAAATTACAGACTTGTGAAATCATGCTTTACTGGTATGATGATAGATTTGATTTTTTAGATTTAAGAAAACCGACTTAATGTAATCTACTTCGCTGTTTTGCTCGGCGTAATAATTAATGATTCTATTTTATGTGTGTGATTGAATGAATTGAATTGAATGAATCCACGTGGCAGGAGCATAGCAATGGAGAGAAATTTGGTAAGATGGACACGTATGAGCTTTTGAGGGTATAATTGTAATTAGATGAGTTATTTCTTTTCTTATATATAAAATAGACTACCTCCGTCCCCCTAAGTTTGGGACAAGAGAAGGTGACACAGTTATTAATAAAAGTTGGTTTATGTGGTTGATATTGAATTGATAAAGTAAGAATAAAGTAGGAATGAATTAGAACCACATAAACTTTACCAAATAAGGTATGAGACAATCTTGTGGGACGTACCAAAAAGATAAAATGAGAGTGTAAAGTGGATACCGTCAAAATACGTAGGGGGACGGAGGGGGTACGTAGTAATACCGAGTACGTCGATTACCGTGGTATACTCAATATAAACTGTTCTAGAATTTTGTGTGTTAAGTGGATACCGTGAAAATACGTAACTCCGTAGTATCCTACACATAAAGTTGTTTGTACTGTATAAATACGTAACGAGTAATATGGTGAACAAAAACCGGCTTTAGCTCAGTTGGCAGAGCGACGGGTTGAGTCCGACGCTGAACTGTTGGACCGGATTAACTGTGTCAATCCGTAGGTCGCTGGATCGAGACCAGCAGGCCGGAATTTTTTTTGTCTATTTTTCTTACTCCGTATTTACCTTGTGTTGCCACAGTTAAATGTAAAATTTTAACCATACGAATATACTATTACGGCACATAAATAGTAAATACGGAGTATCGGATTTTTTTAAAAAAATACGGAGTATGAGTATAATTTTTATGGGTCTCCAATTCTCCATTATTCGAAGTTCCACAATGGCGGATCACCGCCATTTTCCGGAAGAAATACTGATCGAGATTCTCACAAGGCTCCCGGTTCTTCCTCATCACCAGCTTCACTTTCGCCTCCGCCATTCTCTGGAAGGTAATTCTGCCAACACCCTCATCCTCCTCAGGCGTTATGAAAGTGAATCAAAAAAGGAAAAATACGAAATCTGCAGTAGCCATTCACTTTCCTGACCTCCTCTTCCGAACTCAGCCCCCAGGTTGCATGTCGAGTCGGGTACTCACGTGTAGTTGGCTGTTACAACGGCGTCGTTTGCTCATATGACGATTTGTATAGCGATTCACACGCTGTGACCCTGTGGAACCCTAGTATTCGGAAGCATTTGATCTTACCGCCTCCTACCATCAAATTAGGGCGCCCGTTTAAGTCTGTATTGGGATTTGGTGTGGACCCCAAGTGTGCTTATGATCTGAAAGTCGTGAGAGTTTCGTATGTAAGAAATGGTGACTTTTTGGATCTGTGTGACCTCCCGCCGGAGGCTGAGGTTTATTCTCTAAGCACAGGGGAGTGGAGAAGGAGCGATTTCATTTAGTCTCAACTCTCAAACATTCGTCTGTGGGGGCATTCATTGGATTGGGTGCAAATCATTGGATAATGAAAGCTTTGAGTGCTCTGTAGCAGTTTTCTCCATGGCTGATGAGTTGTTTGGTGAGATTATGCTTCCAGATGAATTGTCCCAGGAACGTGCAGCAAATTTATATATTATGGCATTGGATGAGTCTGTTGCTGTTGTTAAGTATGATAGAGAGATCCATGGAGGTTCTTGTATACTGTGGGTAATGAAAGAGTATGGGGTTGTGGAATCTTGGAGTAGGCTACATTCTATTGAATTGGTCGAAGTGATGGAAAGAATCGTTGGCTTTAGGAAAAATGGTGACATTTTATTCTCCACGAACAAGAGTGAGCTCGTTTCATACTGTCCAAACACTTGAGTAGTAAATAAACTTGGAATTTTTGGAACTAGCCGCTCACTTTATGTTGGTAATTACTTAGAAACTCTTCTTCTGCTTCAAGACCATAGCTGCATTGTGGAAGGCCTAGCTAAAGAAATAAAAAGTATGTTAATTTGAAGAGAAGATAGAGTGTGGTGATTCCTTTTGAGGGTAAGTAACTAAGTAAGCTCTTAAGTTACATTATATATGTAATTTACTGAACTTCCAGTGCCTCTTGATGATGTTATTTGTGGATATTTAGTGCCCATTTTGAAGCCTTGTTTTTGGCTCAGCCTTATATGTCAGATTGTTTATGGAACACTAATTTTTGAATTTCACCCCTGGATTGATTAATGATGAAAAGAAGTAAGGTTTGTTGTACTCTTTTGACAGAATTGGCGTAAGAGGATCATTTTAGCTTTTATCATTTACATACTAGTATATTTTATTATAATTTTATCATAATCGAGGAGATTCAGGCATAACCCCAGCAATTTCAGCTGATTTGATCAATTTTAGTCTTACCAAACAGGCTTTCCTAGTTTGCCTTTAAAGAATAGAAACAGTTTGGCTCATTTTCTTGGGTGAGTGTTTTAAATAATCTCTATTAGCTAGAAAGAACTTGAAAGCAATTCAAGTAGCCTTTTTGGAAAGACCACTTGAACAAAAGTACTAATGCTGGTAATCTGTTAACGCATGTAAGAAAATATTACGGAGTACTACATATAAATTTCTAGTGAAATGTGTGTTGGGGATTTAATAACTAATCTGAGCTCCTTCCTATTTTATGTAGTGATTCTTCTTTTCGGCTGAATGTACATTGTGTTTTTTCCATGACTAGATTCTCTATCATCCATCATAATAATATTGGTTAAGCTAAACATTCGATCTTTTTATTTTCTGGTGGATATTATATAGTACGGAGTACATACAAGTAAGAGCTATTTCAGCATTCCAAATGTATATTCCTTAGAAAATGAGTAATTGGCCAATTCAGCAACACCTATATGCATTTTATAAGGGAGTGAGGTTTATACCTTGTGAGGCAAAAGTAAAAACCTTTCTACATGGGAGCCTCAGAGGACAATAGAATTGGAAAACTAGATAGGGCAAGATCATGAGTTATTACATGAAGAATAAAATTTGTATGTTTATTGAATAAAATATGAATCAAAAGTTACATGAGGCCCTGTTTGTACTCTGTAGTGAAATTAGGGATGTGGATGTGTAACCCCCGAAGGGCCCCTGTTTGTAGTGATTGATAATTTGAAACAATTGTAAACATAAAGAAGATCTTTCTTAGCAACAAAAAAGAGCATCATAATCATGCCGGTTGATATTACACAACCATTTAAGGATTGGTTTGGAATTCTGAAGATCCAAGTGAAATTGAATAGAAGAGAAATTAGGAATAAATTTATTTATATTCAATAAATACTAAGAAATCTAAACATATGTAAAACAAATGTCTGATCATATTTCTTTCCCATTTCTAGCATTTTGCACTATCCAAACGTAGTGTAGTAGAACATTATCACCTCAAATTATCACAAGATAATTGCATCTTTTAATGAGCATCCTAAATAGGAGGAACCCTTTCATTACTAGCATGTTGTGAATCCCTTTCATTACTGGCATGTTGTGAATCCCTTTCATTACTGGCATGTTGTGAATCAATCTTTGAGTGTTCTTCAGTACACTGGCATTATATCATCTTTGCTGTGAACTTCACATTGACCCTTGATTTACTTATTCTGAGCAGGTTAGTATGTATATGTGTGTCAAGCTGAAGATAGTCTAATAGGATCTGGATCTGCTTCATCAAGAGTTCAACTTCGTTTTGAAATAGAAAATGCTGCTACATTTGTATGGAAGTTCAGATTGGATCTGCCAAAGACAACAAAATGTGATCTTTCTTATTGTCTTTGAAATTAAGAGCTCGTTTGGTAACTTTTATTTTTGGTTGAAAAGACTTATCAACCATTTTTTACCACATTTATACATGGTAATTTTGATTTCGCACGCTAAATTGTACAATATTCAAAATAAGTAAGGTTACATTTACTTTTTATGTTGAATTGACACAGAGGATTATATTAGCTATTTTTCATATAATCTTTTCTATATTTTACTCCGTATTCATATACTATATTTTAATTTTTTTCACAATTCAACATATTTAGCCAGTTCGGCTACTTCAATCAGAGTTTCATCGATTTCATCACTTTTCAGCCGATTCAACCAATTCTAGTGTTACCAAACGGGATCTAAGACTATTTTAGTGCAACATTTGTTAATATTAGTTGTTGAATTGCTTTCTTGTAACACTTTATCATTATATTTCAGAGTATATCATTTGGAATGGGAGTGCAGGATTCAACAATTTTCTACCCTAATTATGACCAAAATATTTGTTTATATTCTCATATGATGATGAGTATGTGCATGACTGCATGTCTCCATGTATATACATACATGCTTGTGTGCCTACTTATATATTATGACCAAAATATTTTAGATATGTAGTTAATATTTATTGCAATTAGTTTTTTTCCAATTTATTATTTAGTCTTTGGTAACTCATGTTATTAATGATGGCTTACCTTAACCCTCTAGTCAAAATCATTAAGTCGGTTTCTTGATTTCATCAAGTCTTACATGTAAGTTATAAGTCATGTTATAATTGCATATTATTTATTAGGAGTTATAATTACATATTATCTACAATTGTTGGTTAAAAATAATAATGATAGTCAAAACAATTAAATTGGTTCCATATAACATCAAGTCTTAGTTATAACTCATGTCATAATTGCATACTTTCTCAGATTACAAATTTGTTGAACCTTAACTTATAAATATGGCACATTGCCATTGCTGAACCTAGTTATAAGATTAATGATTCATCTTCTAAGCCATGGAAGAAGATGACAAGGTACTCGATCTCAGTCTAGGACTCGGGTTAGGTCATTTCAATCTCAAGGAGGAAAAATTACCCACTCAAACAAGTATTGGCATTTCTTTGGATCTTTCCCTTCCCATTCAGCCCAATGACCAAACTGGTGAGATTATTGAGACTTCTAAACCCTGTGAGGTGGATGAGGAAGAATGTGAGAATTCCTGTGGGAGGAAGAAGTTGAGGTTAAATAAGGAACAATCTGCAATACTTGAAGAATGTTTCAAGCATCATACCACCCTTACTATGGTATCAATTATGCATCAACCTTTCATTTCCTAATGTGAAGTTTCATTCTCCTTCATTTTAGTGTTATAATATTTGTGTATACAATTTATTCCCTATTCAATAATTTCTCTACCGAGTACCCGACTACCCCACCATATAGAGTATCGGTTCTGCCCCCAGCTCTGAAGGACAAATAGTGAAGTATGTTATATGTAAATGTAATACTTTAGGGAACCCCGTTATAAAGAGTGGGCTAAATCAACTCAAAATTGATGAGTATAATTTTCATTCATAGTATGAGTATTAATTTGAGGTTTTCTTTTTCGAATCACTTCACTTTTCAAGATCTGCAAAATCATATGCCAACATTAGCTCAGAATGTTGGTCAAGGACAAAATGCAACATGTAACCTTTCAATAATTACTCCACCTACAAGGTGGTTCAAAATCCATCCATGTATACATTTGGAAATAAGGTTGGGTTTGTTTGGAGAGATCATCATAAACGATTAAAGTGTGTTTTTCACGATAAATAAAATACTCAGCCTTCTACATTATAACTTGTTTATAATCAAATCTTTAAATTTAAAATAATATGCCGTCAGTACATTCTTTTTGCTTCTAAATATGAAATATAATCATTGCTAGGGGTGGGCACGGTTGGTTAACCGCATTTCGGTTAACCGTGATTTTGGTTATTATATTTATAATAATATTAACCGTACCGTAGCTCGGTTAACCATATATCGGTTAACCAAAAAACCATTTTAAAAAACTTACATGGTCTTCCTCCCGAAACCTAAGTTAAGAATTTCTGGATCCAGGAAATGACTACAAAGGTCAAAGGGAAGTATATATATTATATATACTCCAAAATTACACCGCCGCACAAGCTCATGCAATTACACTGCCACATTACAATTCTCCTCTCAAGAATAAACAAACAAACAAACAAACAAACAAACAAACAAACAAACAAACAAACCAACCAACCAACCAACAAACAAACAAACAAACAAATAGGCCGCAATGCCGCACTTATTTGTACTTCTATACATAATATACTACGAAAATAATGGACTTTTAAGCATATATATAATTTAATACTCCGTAGGTTATCTTAAAATTGTAGTAGTAGTATTCTATTTAGAATATATACGGAGTATGTATTAATTGGTCAGATGATCGAGTATGTATCCATCGATTTACTTTTTCATTTGAACTTCATATCTTAAATTTGATTTATCAGTTAACTGACATAGTTTTATTGCAAAACCATTACTCTACCGTGTACCGTTATTTCTTTTTGTTGGTTAACCGTACCACGAGATTTTAAAAACACGGTATGGTTAACCAAAAAAACAACAGTTGTTCGATTTTTTGATACGGTTAATCGGTTATGGTTTTTTATGCCAACCCCTAATCATCGCATGCTCCAAACATACATGATTGCAGGATCGGAAACATGAACTTGCAGCGAAGTTGAATCTTAGGCCCAGACAAGTAGAAGTTTGGTTTCAAAATCGAAGGGCAAGGTGAATAACCTAATCTCTTTACTTTCAGGTGTTCATCCCTTTTCATCTGTTAATTTAGCACAGAAATTCATTCATTAATATGCAGGACTAAACTGAAGCAAACCGAGGTAGATTGCAAGCTGTTGAAGAAGTATTGCGAGAATCTGAATAATGAAAATATTCGGCTGAGAAGAGAATTAAATGAGCTGCGATCGTCATGCAAATTTGAGCAGCTGCTATCACCATTTGCAGACAAGCTTCCCAAGGCCAAGAAGACTATAGTAACTTGTCCATCTTGTGAGAAAATGACACGGGGAATCAAATGTGACAGCAATGACAAACATAACAAATCTGAACTGCAGGATACTCTTTTGGAACTCAAAAACAGTCCGTGATCCTGAGAAAACAATCAAATTTTGGTCCCACGACTGTTATTTATTTTTCACTTTTGGTCCAAACATTCATTCTTCCGCTTTTACTCTCATGATGACTACTTATTTTTTGTTCATTATGGTCCTGAGTCTCTTGATCATCTTTATGTCGATTTCCATACAATTTCTTGTTTACTTTCGCTGGAGAAGTAGCAAGAAAGGACCAAAAGTGGTAAAAAGTCATAGTTATATGCATGAAAAATAGAAAAAGGAAATTAACGTTATGGATACAAATGATAATAATGTAATGATCAGGGAACCAAAGATCGAATTTTTCCTAATTCTAACCCCCAATAAACATAAAAACACACACAAACAAGTGGTTCACTGGTTTGACTTCTTTTGTGACATTCTTACCCAAAGAAAGAGAGGCGCAGTGAGAGACAATTACACAGAAACTACTAGGATTCCGTAATAAAGTACTCTTTTTGGGTATTTTTATTTGATGCCTTTTATTATGATACAAATACAATGACGCTGTGTTTTGTGTTACAAGAACTATACACAGATCCAGTTTTCAAACACAAACACTTTAATCATCTATGAAGATTACCTCGAGACGTCATATTGGTCAGAGAGATTGAAGCCCACACACTAGCCCAGTCAAATAGATGCTGACGTCTTTGGGTTACTACATATTATTAATTTATTTTCTTGATCATCCGGAGTAGAGTATCCCACTAGTCTTTTGTAACCCACCTGTGGCCACGTATTTGGAAACCACCATAAGTATAATCATTGCTACTCTCCCCACCACTTTCGCTGGTGTACCCAGAATTCCGACGCTGTTTCTTTTTCTTAGAGGTCGTGATTCTCCCACTGTCGCTGACACTTCCATTTAAAAGAGGGTCATCTATCCCACGTATAAACCTTGGGGTTTGAGATGATGAAGTTGTTGTTGCCACACAACTGTCATCCTTTGCTCTCCTCCCCCGTTTGTCATGTTTCATGTTTTCAGAGATCTTTTGCAACTTCTCATTGAATCTTGTGAATCCCTTCTCCATTGGCTCCACTGCATGGGTCACCGTGAACTTCACATCATTAACAATCTGGATGCAACACAAACACTTGTCATAACAGGAGCCGTAGGAAACAAGTCAATTTTAGTACAAATACACTGGCATTATTATTGTTATATATATGAGTAACTTTTTATGAAAATATGATAACATTAGTCACAAAAGTGCACTTATCCCTGTAAGCAAAAAGGGCACATGCGTACATTACATAAATTGTGTCAGAATTTGAAACAAAATGAGCTTATCTTACAAAATATGATGACAACTTCTAGACACCCACAAGTGCACTTTTATGCATATAAGTGTGCACTTTGTATCACAGTTCTGCTCAGCAAGATTTTTAAGTTCTATGTTTGTGAGAGAGAGGGAGACTGGAAATCGGGAAAGAATGACACTTCAGGTCAATCAGTTAATTGGGAGCAGATTTCGTTCCAGGGTTAAAAATGGCAACACGCCAACACTTATACGTTTTAATCCCTAAATTATCCTTAAAGTAATGATTTTAGTCTCTCAATATGAATTTCTATGATTCTTCGATCTTTCTTTGATTATAATTAATGTCATGAAATCACAATATAGATTGCATTTCGAAGAAAAGGAAAATTAATTTCTCACATGCAGAAGTCCACAATAGAATCAACATGGTGATTATGAGACTAATACTAAAAGCAAAAGTAAAATATCAAAACTGAACATACTGTCCCGTACAACTGAGGGACCGAAGTCCATTTTCCCTTTAACATAACATATCTCGGGCAAGAAGAGGACATCTCAATAGTAAGCATATCTCAACTTAAATGCATTTCATTGGTCTAGCTAATCTGAACATGTCAATAATACCAAAAGTTAACTAAATTAGCATTCAGCATTACAGACTTTTCTATCAAAAAGAAGCTCAATAAGAAATTAGCTAGAGATAATACTTACATATTCACCAGCACCCATAACAACATCACGAACACTCTCTCTAATGGTCGTTTTGCTTGAATCTTTAACATCAGAATGGTGCGGAAGACGCATTTTAGTTGGTCGCTCACTGTCCCTAACCTCTTCGGGGTCTATGGGGCAGTCAGCAGATAGGTAGTCCCCAAGGACTGAAACACCCCCATGAAAACGCTCTCCCATCAGCTCGTATGGCTTTGCAGGAAAAACATAGAGGTGGACCATTGAAGCAATGCCCATCTGTCCTGGACAATATTCACAAGCAAGTCAAACTTATATTAGATAGAGCTGATCATTAGTGGGTCCGTTTGGAACCCGGAAAATACCAGGGAAAGACTTTAAGAGGGAAATGAGAACAAAAGACTAATCGAGAGAAATCCAAACTTAAAAAATTTAACTTCCTTAGCATTTGTTCCCTTTCACTAGCAGTTCCTTGAACCAAACACACCCAATGAAATACTGGTGAGCAACTGAGCATCCAAAATGTGTGTGTGTCCAGGTGAGAAGAACAAATACCTCAATACAAATAATAAAATCCTGAATGCTTGACTGCAACTGTAAAGCTTGAGCAATTGGGCTCTTCAAAATGCCCAGGCTGCATAACAGGGCAATGGCCAACCCTTGCCACCACGTCAAAAACACAATTGACTTAAATGTCAAAAACTTGTACAGCGGATTGATATGGTATAACTCATATTTTGTAATGGTATAGAATTGAATTAGGCAATACAATGCCCATGACTGGCTGAAATTTAAAACCACCGCCAAGTAAGGGTACCTTAAAGAAAAGGAAAACAAAAGGTCACATAACATACAAGAAATAAGGTTATGGATTTAAAAAGCACTATCCATCTATGAAATAAGAAATACGCATCCCGTACCCACAGTTCCACTTGAATTCTCCCTCGCAGTAGACATGAAAAGCTTCCAGAATTACTGTTAGAATAGCAGTAAATGCTTTTATTATCATCTGCCATCAAGATTCATGTGTTCTTTGATAACAATTTATATGATTCAAGAAAGAAAGAAATTAACAGCTGGCAGTGGGCTAACATATCATAAAAAGAGAGAGGACACTTACATACTGAACAATCCCAAACTTGATAACTTCATAAACCCATCGATCCAGCTTCCATGGCTTAAGAATAAGATTGGTTGGGAACGGATGCTTTATAATTCCCCTCTCATGGCCACCGTCCTCCTCCAGTAGGGGTACCTTTGAACCTATTTGTCCTTCCCTCTCCATAAAATCTAGTGTTCTCTCTTCCCCGCCTTTTCAGGATACATAACATCAAGGTTTTGTTTGGGTTATAGAAAATGCAGGGAGAGGAAACAAATGCTAAGAAGAGTTGGATTTACTGAGTCTGAAGCTATTTATACTTTGCATCAATGTTTCTTTCATTCTAATATCTCTCTCTCTGTTTTCTTTCAATGGTATTTTCTAGGTTTAAAACGGACCTTGAGAGAGCATTACAAGAAGGTTCTTGGAGTGGGATCCACAAAGGAAGAAACATTTCAAGAAAAATCAAGAACAACATCCAGAAGAAAAAATAGCAGGCTAAATTTTATATGAGCCATAGGGAAAGTTTTATAGTCATCTACCAGATTTTATATGGAATCAAAGTATCAAACTTAAAGATCCAAAACTAACAGGCTAACTAACAGCTTACCTAAACAGGCAACAAGATATCTTCCAAAGCAGTACATAGCAAAGGACTCATACCCATCACGTAATATCTCTAAATACACACCGATTGCTGGATTCACCAAAGATACAAACTGAAAAAAGAAACCCACATCAGTGTACACATTAGATTTATGTAATGCAGAACGGAGCGCTGCAGCAACAGGAAGATCTAGTACATAATACTACATATGTTATTTGACAAAAGGCAATAACCAAACTAAATATATAGACCTGACAATGTTGGAATGTGTTTACAACCAGTTTGAAGCAACAAAAACCATCAAACTTGTAAATTCTATTAAATAGTACTACCTCTGTCCCGTTGAAAGGTCCCCATGGCAAAATGGCACGGTTATTTATACAATAATTAAATAAGATAGTTCGTGTATATTTTGAGAAATAATTGTGATAGGTATGCAATATAATGGGGTTAGTGTTGATATTTGTCATTTAAGGTTTTTAATTTTTCCTAAAATGGAAATGAGAACCTTTAGACGCGGCGTCTAAAAAAGGAAAGTGGGAACCTTTCTATGGGATGGAGGGAGTAATTAGGAACAGACTAATACTTCATAAACTTTGAGCAAGCGCTACAAGCCACTGGAGTGCTGGAACAAAAGGGAAGAGATTGACTGGAGCTAAAACGGCCTTTTTATCAGCCCAGTCACAGTTAATTAAGCTTTTTCAAACAATAGCATTTCTATATACGAAGAATGTTCTTATGAAGAACCTCAAGCTCTATTAGCATATTAAGCATTAGCTGGCCATGTCCTACTGAAAGAAATCATCATTTAACATTTCATTTTAACATTTTCTTCAATTATTTCTGACATTTGACAAATGAGAACAATCAATTATTTCATTTTAACATTTTCTTCAAAGGGCTATGCAACTAGAATTGGGATAAATATCAGCTTGAAATACATACGAAGATAACATAACGAAGATAACAATAATAACATAATCAAAATCCCAAATGGAGTTGAACTAGACTCACAGATTCAATAGCATAGCATGGCACCATCAATATCACTCCAATCAAAAACTTTTGCTCCTGCCAATAGCCCAACATAAATCAAAACTCTAGAGTTTACATTTACATTGTCACCTACGTTTAAAACCAATGCAAGA